AATAATTCCGAAATAAATAAATTTACGGACAGATTTTCCTTGATTGCTGTGGCACACTCCCCTTCCCCATTCGTCGGATCAGCTTTCATTCATTCGCGCCCTGTGTTTGATTGAGGGACTTTGCGGCAGGAGGCTAGCCCCGGGGGAAAGTCGGAGCCGTGCCTTGTGGAATGCACAATGAAAAAGGGCGGGGTGCTGGAGAGATTATTTCAATATTTGCCAGTCGTTTATTTAGCGCTAATTTAAAACTAACATTATAAATATTGATGCTGCTCCTCCCGGCCAGAGTCGAAAGCGAAAGCAAAAGTATGGCATGCCCCCTGTGGCCTTTAGACGGGTTCACTGACTGCCTGACTGGGGGAGGGGTGCGCTAGATAAAGGGGTAACCGGGGGGTAACCGGGGGGTAACCAGGGGGAGCTGGGACTGGGACTGGGACTGTCGCGGTTTTAATAAGCATGGTTAAACGTCTTCGTGCTGGCAAACATTTGCCCTGCGCTTAGTTAACAGCTTTTTGCCACAGGCAACGGTAACGGTAACGGTAACGGTGGATGGTAACGGTGGATGGTAACGGTAACCGAACATGGTTGAGTGCCCCCGCGACGTTGAGGCGCGAATTAAGCGCAAACAAACAGCCGCCGCTCCCCACCCTCCCTGGAGGCCCATCGAGAGCACGCGTGCCACAGCTCCCACGGCAATTGGTTTCGGTAGATTTTGCCAACATTTTCGACAAGCGTTACAAAGAACTTGCCACAGAAGGCAGGCCGAAGGGCTCTGCCTTTGCGCGAACTCGATCTGGTGGATATCCTGCAGGGGTAGCCCGCAATCGCATGAGAGGGTCGCAGACTGTCGGCTGTCGGCTGTCGGCCATCCGAACAGTAGGCCTTGAATCACTCTCAAAGCCTGGCCCAGGGACGAGACTGATCGACTCTCGGACGAAGGCAGGCAGGGGTTCAAGTCCTGCCGGCGACAGAAGCCGCAAGACCAACGAGAATATCTCTCTTTGGTCACTTCAGCGAGTGAAATGCAGCGAGTGAAATGCAGCGAGTGAAACACAGCGAGTGAAACACAACGAGCATTGTTGGGCCCAAAACGAGCATCAGGCCTGCTTTTCGAAACCCCTCCCCAACGCTGTAGCCCTAACCCTAGTTTTTCCGACGTCACCTCGCCGCCGCCTGTGGCATAGGGCTCTAGGCTCTGTGCCCACATGGTTCGGTGCCAGGTTCGATTCCTGGTGTAGGCTGCGGAGTCGGGGTCACAACTCAAATCTATATTGACGTCACACTTTCCCTCAGTTCCGATTGAGTGAGTGTTGGGGTGACTAGGCAATGAAGAGTTGAGTTTTGACACTGACTTTTTGCCTCAATTAACCGCTACTTTCTGTACGTGTATCGGTATTTGGGTCTATATTTTTTGGTGAATACGTGAAGAGTTCTCCGCAATGGATGAAATGCGTTCCCCAGGTCACGTGGCGGTCCCCCCGGCAGGCCGCCATTAACCTATTGAAGCCGACTCGTGATTAGCCTCCCATGCATCCTGTTCCCTGTTCCCTGATGTTGGTGGTGGCTGCGTGGGAGAATCGCGATGATTGATGACAATGCCGGGGAGTCCCTTTTCCTCTCCAAATACTTCCACACCTGCCTCCCCCCCCTGCCCCCCTTAAGAGCACACCTGCTAAGTTTTCGTTATGGTTGTTCTTGAGCTGGTTCTGGTTCTTGTTATTCTTGCTATTCCTTTTACTTTTCTGATTTGTATGGATATCCGACTGGTTGCTCCTTCCCTGTCTCTTTCTCTAATGTTTATTTCATTTCGGTTCGCTGTTCCGTCTCAGTTCCAGCCTAAAACATATGTAAAATTCATAAAGCGACGGGTAAAACTTTTCCCTTCTGGGGGGTGGCCGGCCAGCTTCTCCCGGGCAAACATTTTAGCCTTGGCCAAGACAAACGCAAACAGCCAAGGCTCCCTCTTTCTCCATGGCACGCAGGCGGCCATTGCCAGAGTGAGAATGTCTGAGATAAGAGGTTGGGAAAGAGAGAGAGTCGCTGGCGATTGATGGACTCCACTTATGCCCTGCCAAGGACCAAATGCAGACCGGCTAAAGGCACCGTCAACGTTTCAAATGAGAAAACTGCACCGTCGAGGGGGTTTCTCCAGGACGAAAGTGCTTTAAGTACCCGAATACCCAAGGTATAAAAAAAGGGTAACCCCTTTTTTGGTGACCCCGACACTCCCTTTGTTCTGTGCCCCGACTTTAAGCTTGGCTTAGCTAATATACCCCTTGGTTAACTGCGGCGATCCCCTTTCCCCCTCCCTCCTGAAGCCGTAGGAAACCCTTGTCCTTGTCGCTGTTATGCACAAATGTTTGTCTTTAAATTAAGCTTCATTTCGGCAACTTTATGCGGCACGCCCCCCAAGAACAAGAGGGCGATCCAGCCCCGAGCTTTACGTGCCTCGCTGCCACTTCATCTTTCGTGGCGGAATGGTGGCTGTGGGGGGGGGGGGCGTTCCTGGTCTCGGACAAAAACGAGAAATTCATTTTTCAAGCTGGTGGACTGCTGCACGTTGAGACTTTTACTTGTTAACGGGGTCATAAATCATGCGTGAAAATATCGAACGGAAAACAGATTTTCCCCCAGCAAACAACAAAGACGGACGGACGGGGGGGTTTGGAGGGTTGGGGGCATGTCCATGTCCCTGTCCGAGTTGCAGGGCTCTTCAAAACGTATCTTAACCCTTTTTTTTTTTGCCTTTCATGTGTGGGCGGGCGGCAATGGGCGGCTAATAATCGATTTGTTTGTTTGCTTTTAATTTCTTGCGACCGATGCTGGTCGAACTTTGACTGCTCACGTAGGGACACAACAGTTCCGAGTCCTCTTAAGCCCTCAAGCCCCCCAACGCCCCCTAAGGCCCTCCCCTGAATCCCAGAACTCTCTCTCTCTTTCTCTCTCTTTTTTTTTTTGGCTAATGTGCAGCTGCTTCCGATTTTTGGCCCATTCATCGTTTTTCTATTTGTCATCTTTGTTGTTGGTTCGCTTTTTGGGGTTTTACGGTTTTGGGGGGGTGTATGGTGGGGGGGAGGGAGGCGTAAAGCTGATTTTATAACGATTTTCTTTGGCAATCCCTTCAAATACGGAACCCACTCACATGGTTTTGTGCATTGCGTGGCCTTTGGGCCCCTCATCCAGCCCTTCTACAGACCCTCCCCAGCCCCCTCTCCTACCCTTCTAAAGCCCCTCCACAGGCCCCCCCCTCCAGTCCCCTCTTCAGCCCCCTCTTCAGCCCCCTCTCCAGCTTCAGTTTGTTTTGTCACTACCTGTGTTGAGTTTTTAATGAAAATCACATCAAATCGATATGCATGACCACCCCCCTGCACCCTCTCCACCCCCCTCCACCCCCCTCTACCTTGTCACCGATGCGCCAAACTTGAAACGCTTCCCGAAACGCTGGAAGCTAGAGCCCCCCCGAACAGAGGCGTCCTCAAGGGGGGCATCAAAAAAGTCCCTCAGAAGTCACTCAAAGGACAGATATCACACGAATACTAACGCATTATACCATCTATATAGCACCCTCTCCCCCCCCCCCCCATCGATGAGGACACCCCTGATCGTTGGAATGCTTTCAGACCCTTCAATATGCATTCGAGTATTTTCAACAAAGTGGATTAGAATGGTCCTTATGACCATCACCGACCGACACAGGGCAGCCGGACTATCCGACCCCAGCAGAGGGGAGGAGGGGCGAGGGAGGAGGTAGGAGTGAGAGATGAATGACCATCGATGACTAGATGGAGCTTGGAGCCACAGTAAACTGCGGTTAAGGTGCAAAGAGGGCCAGATAAAAGGAGGATGGAAGGATGGGAAGGATGGAATGGGCACAGATACAAAGAAAGACAGGGATATGCAGATGGAGGGCCAGGTGGAGCATTAGGCCAATGCATTTCTGTTCATATTTTCTGTTGCACACTGGCAAAACCACCGCAAAAGCTCAATGACCAAACGAATGGACTGGACTGGACCCAAAGCAAAGCCAAAGTCCCCCTAACAAGCCCCCGCCACGCTCCCCTCCTCCGCAACACCCCCCCCCCCTCTTCGGACCGGATTTTTATGTAGTGCAACCATCCTGGAAAAATGCCTTTTAGCCAGACATTCAACTATTTTTCGATACGGTTTTCAATGTCTGTTCCAAAGGGAATTTACAAAACATTTGCGGAGTCCCTGCACTCGGCTATCCCTTTGGTATTACCTGCCGGAATCTGCTTGAGAAACCCCCCAAAGGATATACTCGATATAGTCCACCGTAGGATCTCCGATGGGCTTTCTAGAGGACGAAGTAAATGCTAGATATTTCGGCGCCTTTGGCGGCACAGAAGTTACCGTAAGGACGTTGAATCTATGCAGGGTATCATCGGAAGCCTGGTTGTCTTGCTTCTAGTTTATTTTTGAGCTACAGCCCTGCCTCGATGACAAATTCTAATCGAACGCCATGCAAATCGGGAAAGGAGTGGTCTTGAGGGAGGCGGCAGGATAGCGATCTGGTGGATACCCTGCAGGGGTAGCCCGTAATCGCATGAGATGGTCGCAGACTGTCGGCTGTCGGCCATCCGAACAGTAGGCCTTGAATCACTCTCAAAGCCTGGCCCAGGGACGAGACTGAACGACTCTCGGACGAAGGCAGGCAGAGGTTCAAGTCCTGCCGGCGACAGAAGCCGCAAGACCAACGAGAATATCTCTCTTTGGTCACTTCAGCGAGTGAAATGCAGCGAGTGAAACACAGCGAGTAGAATACAGCGAGTGAAATGCAGCGAGTGAAACACAACGAGCATTGTTGGGCGCAAAACGAGTATCAGGCGTGCTTTTCGAAGCCCCCCCTCCCCATCACACTAGCCCTAGCCCTAGGTTTTCCGACGTCACCTCGCCGCCGCCTGTGAAGCGCCGAAAAAACGAGCAAAACCCAAACAAAGGAGCATCGCAGAGGGCAGAGCAATACCTGTCCGGGGGAGACAGTATCAGGAACAGTCAGTACCGACACCGGGGCCGTACGTTCAAGAGTTGAACTCACATAAAATATATTTGTTGTTTTGCAAATACGGAACGGAAACGAAATCGATAGAAATGTACGAGTGCGAGCACTGCGGTTGCAGGAAGACGACCCTGAGCGGGGCTCCCACGTACGAGCTGCGGCGCACATCCACCGGCGCTGAGGTGGTGGGCGAACGGCGCTGGATCTTCGACACCTGCAGCATCTGCCACAACGTGAGGTTCTTCCGCCAGTTGGAGGAGGACGACGAGGCCGCGCTGGCGGAGCCACACAAGTCCGATGCGGCCGAGGAACACGAGGTAAGTGAGGGGGAATCCCTGGGGGTCCTGTCTGGGGGCTAATACACGCCTCACTCCGACAGGGATTGCACGGCGGCGGGATGGAGGATGGACAGATTTCCAAGGGCGAAACAGAGCCAGAGCCAGAGCCTGGGGATGGGTTTGGCGATGGGCAGGACCAGCTGGTTCCGGTCATGCAGCGCGTCAAGATGTTGGAGGGCAAGGCCAAGGAAGCCCACCCCAAGCCGACAAAGGGTCAGCGGGGGGGCAAGCAGCCGGAGCCGGAGCCGGAGCCAGAGCCGGAAGCGGAGACCGATGCGGAGTACCCAGTTGTCTCCGTGACGGAGTCCTTCGCCTTCGACCGCGCGACCAGTGGCGGGGACAGTGTCAAGCCCTGTACTCCCAGAACATCCTTTAAAATCCCCCTCAAGCGCTACTCGCTGCAGCCCGGACTGAAGTGCAAGCGGAAGGCCATGAGCCGTTTGGCCAGCATTCGCCTGGACGTCAATCATCAGCTCAAGAAGACCCAGCTGGAGCTGCGCGAGCTGGTGGAGAAGCGAGTGCAGGCCCTGAACGACGGGGACGGCCCATCGCTGGCCCCTGCCGCGGCGGCGGGAATCGCCCCGCTGCTGGACTCCGTCGTGGAGTTCCTCCTGGAGCAGTCGCTCTACAAGGACAAGGCCAGCCAGACAGAGCACGAAGCTGGAGGCGGAGGCGGAGGCGGACGTCTCCTCTCGACAGTGGAGCAGCTGCGGCACCTGGTCGAGACGGTGTCGACGGTGAAGCGGTGCAGCTACCAGTCCATCGGGCATGCCGCCCGCAAGGCCCTTCGCGGGATGAAGCACACGGACTGCACGACGAAGGCCCTCCAGGCGGAGGATCAGTTCCACCCGGTGTCCTTCACGGACAAGGAGCTGCTCGGGGCCCTCGCCAGCAAGGCCCACCTGTTCGAGGACACGGCCCCCAAGCAGCCCCTCTACCCCAAGGAGCCGATGCCGTGCCCCGACCTGCACTGCCCCAAAACGTGCTTCCCCTCGGAGCTCAACGAGCATCTGTTGAGCGACCATCCGGGCCTGAAGGCGAAGCCAGTCGGCCTGCGACAGAGCGAGACCCTCTACATGGACCCCAAGGCGCTGCCGCTCAACGAGGCCACTTGCCTCCAGCTGTACGAGGTGAAGGACAAGATCGCCCACGCCCAGGCCGGCTGGAGGGGCGACGTGCTGCCCGTGCTGGTCATGGCAGCCCGCGCACGGTTCTCCAACGACTCCGACTCCAACTCCGACTCCAACTCCGACGACGTGGAGGACGCTCTGCTCTTCTGGCTGAGCAGCTTCCGTCAGGCCGACCTTCGGCTGTACGGCACCCTCTCCGTGTGGTCGCCGCGCGCCCACATGGCCGACACCCTCACGGTGCTCACCGGCCAGACCCACGACATCTGCGACCCCAAGGACCTGGCGACCATGCTCCGTAGTCCCTGCACCGTGGTGGTGCCCCACGCACAGCTCCAGCGCATGACCGCCCGCAACGGCGGCCCAGAGACCAGCCTCATCGCCGTTCAAGTGCAATTCCAGTAGCGGCCACAGTCCTGGACACCAACCGAAAGCCCAATCAAATTCTTAGAAATGTAAATTGTTTATTTTCCAGCCGGATGGAAGGACGTGGCACTTTCGGAGAAGCCATGCTGCCCATCAATATATTTTGGTATTGTTTCGGAAACAAATTAGGCCCTGAAATGTGGTATTCATTTGAGGGAAGGGTAGGTCCTTTTGGCAGCTCATCTTCGGGGTAAGTGGAGGCCCTCTTCTGGACACGATCTGCTGTCTTTGCGAGCACCCTTTGAGGGCATGCGACTGGACGCCCGATGGGCACTCCTGGGCTGCCTCGAGGACATCCTTCAGTGCTGGGACTCTCGCCTGCAAATATTTCCCAAAAATACTAATTACCCAATTTTTCATAATTTTTTTCATTTTTTTTGTTATTTTAATTTTAATTTTTACCCGGCCGCACTTCAATATTTATATGCTCTATTTTTTGGTCTGCTCTTTTGTTGAATTTTGAAAACAAATATTTGCTTGGGCCACTCGGTGGAGGAGGGGGGAGTGTGGGGGGGGGGGGGGGGGGGACACACAGATATCAAGTACAAAACACAAAATATATTTATGGACAAATTGTTTTTTGTAGAATTTTCGTATTTTGTGCAAATTTTCGATGCATAAATATTATAATAAAAATAAAGAGATACAGATAGAGAAGGGAAAATGGCAAATGGCAAATGGCAAATGGAAAATGGAAAATATTTCCATGCATAGTTTTGGAATTGATTTCACAAGTGTTGGCCAAACACAAGTTTTTGGGGGCCCTGGGGATCGATGGACTGCCACTGCGGGTATATTGAAATCCCGATGAAATGTGTGTCCGAGCAACAAGCATTCGAGTAGACATCCGCCCACGCAACAAGGTAATCAAATGCAATTGAAAAACCAGCGCAAAAAGTTCATCCTCCTGGCCCGGCCCCGGCCCGGCCCCGGCCCCGCCCCGCACCGCCTTGAGGCGCAGGAGTTCTGGCCGATTGCAACGAATTTAATCAAAAGTTACAATTCCAATTGTCCGCAAGCGGGTCACTCGTGTTGCGTATTAAAAAAGTTCAACTGCGGTGAGACAGGGACCGAGATACAGATGCGGATAGACAGTGAAAGAGACAGAGACAGAGACAGAGACCCGGCATAGATGGTGTAAAAGAGAGAGAACGAGGAGCATCGCTCCCGTTTCATATCCGTGGCTCTATATAGGCCAAAAACAAAAAAAGACCAGAACCAGAACCAGAACCAGAACCAGTACCAGAAAGAGAATGAAACCGAAACGAAGCGAACCAAAAACTTTGCCCGCTTAAAGTGCAGCGATTGCATTGAACAGAACAGAACCGAACCGGACGGACAATCAATGCCTACGTACGTATATCCAAGTGTGGCCCATATCTCTGCATAGACTCGCATCTGAAAGAACGTTTCACCTTTCGGCTCCGATGTGTGCAAAAAGATAGTGTCAAATATTAGAAAAAGTGCAAGATACACGGAGAGATAATTGGCAGAGTGAAAACAAAGGAATTGCATAGTTTTTACATAGAATTAGCTTTGATTTAGGCATAAATAGTACTGGAAAGACTTTTTAATGCGGCCCATATTGGAAACAATTGAAAATAGATAACCAATCATCACTTTCGGATGAGCGGAAGTGCAAATTTAATAGAATTCACTTTGAATTAAGCATACATGTATTTAAAAGTATTTTTAATATGGCCCACATTTAAAGCACTTGGAAATAAACAAACAATCATCACTTTCGAATGAGCGGAAGTGCAAATTTAATAGAATTCACTGTAATTTAGGCATAAATGTATTTAAAAGTATTTTTAATATGGCCCACATTTAAAGCACTTCAAAATAAATGCCCAATCATCACTTTCGGATGAGCGGAACAACGAAAAACGAAGCGAACTACGAAATATGCAAACGAAACTTCATAAAAGGAGGACTGCCACGCGATTTTAATACATCAGAAACTCAGATCAAATATTTGGTAAAAATTGAGGCAAAAACCCCACCATTTAAGGCACAAATATTGCAGGCCAAGTGTAACTATTGGGGGCTCAGGGCGTGGAGATTTCTGAGACTCCTTTTGGTGCAGCCAGCCCCAATCCAGATCTCGTCGCACATCCATCCAGCCAGCCAGTTGGCAAGCGTCCGATAATGACGGGTTGGCCGAACAATCAATTAACGCACTGCCAGACCCGGTCCCGGTCCCGGTCCCGGTCCCGGTCCTGGTCCCGGTCCTGGAGCTCTAGGCGAACTTGTCTGTTGACAGTGTCTGAGTGTCTGGATGTCTGGGTGTCTCGGTGAGGCCCGAGGATGGTCTGCCAAATCGATTTTGTAGTACCCATCCAGCCGACCATCTCTCCGAAGGGTGGCCTCGACAAACATTCGTTGGGAGCACTGTCAAGTCTCTTAGCTTACAATTTCGATTCATAATTTTGGTTTATTCTGTGGAACAAAATTGTAGGCTACATATGTTGAGATCTATCTAGGATAAGATGTCTGTGGCACCCGAAGAGCAGCAAACGCCGAGTCTCCACCAAGAGCCGCAGGTAGAGTGTGCGTCCGATGGCATCCAGGAGGAGTTCATGGTGGGCGACATCGACATCGACTTCGACATTGACTCTGAGGACGACCTGTCCTCCATGCCGGTTTGCCGCAATCACAGCCTGACGACCGTCAGCAGCTCCTCGCCGATCGACGCTCGCATCGAGTGCCCACAAATCATGGAGCCAGTGGCCCGGTCACCGGCCAAACAGGACTAGTCCGTGGCACCGAAAAACATGCATTTTGTGCAATCATTCCACAAATAAATTAACTCCAAAGAAGGTCCACACCTGTCGCATAATTGAAGGTAAATAACATTCGATGTTTGACTATCGTTTGCTTTTCGGCGAAAAACGAAATAGCCCAGTGCAAACAAGGGGCCGGGGGGGGTTCCCTGACTGATGGATCGGACTAGATGGATGGCAGGGGCACGGGCAGGGGCAGGGGCACGGGCAGGGGCAGGGGCACGGGACTGGGACTGTTGCTGGACGCTTATTGTTAGATGGATGGATGGATGATGTGTTGCTCTCCATCCATCTCCTAACCTCCCTGTGGGGGGGGGGGTGGGGGGGGCTACCGAGCCCAGAGCCAGGGACAGATAGAGTTGATGATTTGTGGCGCAAAATGCGAAACTGACAGCGCGCTTCCGCTTAAAGGAAATTGAAATCCTTCTTTGCACAAAATTGTTGACGTATTTACACCCACACAGATACACCCCAGGGGGAGGGGGGGGGGGGGGGGGCTGTGTTGTTTTAGGGGTTTCCCCTTGAGTCCTGCAATCCCTTCTCCCAGCCAAGTCTCCAAGTAGTACAGATCCTGCAGTTCCAACTCGGCTAGGGGGTAGATCCTTGCTGCAGGACCCCCCCCCCCCCCCCCTCGAGCAGCTGCCCGTGCGGCCTGGGGTGTACGGCTGGGTGTGTCCTTTGCATGTCCTTTCGCTTGTTATGTCGGTTTTTTGCGTCTCCATCTTTTGCTTGCTTCACTTTGTGCACACTTTTTGCAATTAGGCGAAAAATTCAAATTCAAATCAATAGACAAGGAAAACTTTTGCTGCAGCACGTCGTCATGGCTGCCGGAGCAGGTCCTCGACCAAGAGCAGGCCAATTGGCCAATGCCAGCGGCTGAGTACGTGTTCGGCCAAAAATAATACCGCTACCGGTATCGGTACCGTTCCGACTCTGGCTCTGGCTCTGGCTCCATTTCCATTTCCATTTGCCGACTCCGGCTCCGGCTCCGGCTCTGGGTTGGGGCCTCCCCAAGGAGCTGCTCGCTGCAAAGATGCTGAAAGGACAGCCACGGCCCAGACATATCTGGAGTTGATGCCGGAGCTGGGACTTGGGGCTGACGTTGGGGCTAATGTGATTTCGTTCGTTCAATTTGTGAATTGCCTGGAACACCCGTCCAGGGGGCAGGGGCCACCCGGACAGACGATATATGCATAACTACGTGGCATGTGCATGTGCCTCCCCGACTCCCCGCCTCCCCGCCTCCAAGCTTTTGTGCGCGGCATGTGCTCTTTTTTTGGCGGCGACAGCACCATCTTGCTCATTGTCGTGCAACAATTTAACATGCAACATGAAGACTGGACTGCACGCCGATTCGTTGCCTCGAATACCCTAGCCGGAAGCCGAAAAAGGTACCCTAAAAGGTACCCTTAAAGGAACAGAAATTTCCCAGAGCTCCCACAGGACAGGGTCTTCTGGAGAGCACAGCATCCATGCAGCAGTCTATCGGTATCGATTCAGCCCAGAAGATGGGAGTTTGAAGCTTGTTAGATGTCCTTGAAGAACGTAAAGTGATGTTTCGATGATTTTGTTGAATCGCCAAGGCTTCTGGAGTGCCAGCCTGCCATCTGGGCTTTTGAGATTAGTTGGCCACCGTTTTGGGCGTCCCCCCCCCCCCAAATCCTAGGGTAGCGGGACTGTGTGGCAACAATGCTGTCAGCAACATGATTACCTACAGCACACACAGACTCAGACAGAGCCGGGATGGAGGGCTCCATCTCCATCTCTCTCTCTCTCTCAGTCTCTCTGTGTGTGTGTGTGGATGCTGCAGTTGAATGCAACTCGAAGGGAGGCGAGACGGAGTCGCAGTCGTAGTCGGATGCATTAAATGTAAGGCACTGTGCCAGAGAGAGAGAGAGAGAGGCAGAGGCAGAGGCAGAGGCAGACTGCGCCAGAAACATTTTGCATTAAAATTAAGGGAAATTTATAATGAGCCAAAATTGTCATTGCGATGCAATCGCCGCAATATATATAATATATTGTACATATTTTATATGCACACACACTATGTATATTTGATGTATTTCTATGTGTCTGTGTGTGTGTGTGTGTGTGTGTGTGTACGTGATGCCTGCACTGACTCCTGGCCGTTTTCCTTGTCCTCGTCCTGGTCCTGAGGCTCATTATTGGGGTAATTTATAATTCGTTCATTTA